TGGTGCTCACTCATTCATTTGAAAACCTCGGTACCCAACTTCATCTCCGGTCTTACCCACTAGTAACAGTCAGGGATAGCCAAGTCTGTTTACTGGATCACCCTGTGAAACATGAGATACTTTGGGAAGATGAATAATTGATGCTTATTTTCTGGTGTCCAAAACTATGGAATTTGACCCAGGTTTCGATATTTTTTTCCGGTAAAAATAAGCGACAGTTTAGTAGAGGGTTTAATTGTTACGATGATTTCATTTGATGGGTACATGATTGATCACAGGCTTGATGGTGATTTGAATTAAGCTTTTCTTTGCAGTGCCTAAACAATTCGTAGTTATGGTGTATAATTCCCTCAAAAATGTTGTCCCATTCGGCTTGCAGATATTTTTTGGAATATTGACATGCTCGATTGAAGTTTTCTCCCCATTTGGCAAACGGCTCTCTAGAACCAATTAAAATCCCCAATTCCTCCAAATGTTTCGAATAGCACTTTACACGATCACGCTCTTCTTTCCCATCTGAACCGGTATTGACTGGTTCCAAACCAGTATCCCGGGTAAACTGTATCAAATAACTGGGTTTTTTTATTACTACTAATCTTCACTGGTCCCCTCACATTCAGCACATTGCCAGTAGGCCTCAACAACCTTCTTTTCTTGGCCATAAACTTCGTCAGTTTTGTATTCAACAAGCGATTATTTCCAAATTTGTGTAACAGTGTGTTTTACTCGTTTTATTTTATTGTTCACCTGTTATTTTTTTCCACTCTCTTAAAGAAAGACTTTAAACTGCTTGGACGTAGACTGACCTTCATTAGCCACTGGAAGGGTTGGTAACTAACCGGTCCGAATGTCATTTGAATGTGTGTGAACATTTTGCGCATAAGATTCTTATCGACTTCACACATCCGCTATACGCTGATCTAACTTCCTGTTGTTCCCATTCCTCAACTAGTTCACAATATCGCTGTGTTCCCTCTTATTAGCATGTACTCTTGGTAACGAAAAACAACTTTGTTAACAGTTTTGGGAATTAAACCTTTTATTTATTTTATTATCTCCCCCTCTCTCAAACTGGTTTATTTTTAATTAAAATGTAGGCTTTTTGCTTACATAAATTATTACAGTACAATACGAAGCAATACAATACAACACAATACAATATAATACAATAAAATATAGTACAATACAGTATATTACAATACAATACAACTGTTACGTAGAGGACATCATCAACAAGGTGCTCAGTTTTAACTTCCCTTACAACTCATTGCTATTACAATTACAACAACGATAATAATACTAGAACAATGAAAACACCTTGAAAAGCACGACAATCTTATGCTATAAGAAGACAACACTGATTACGCATCACAGGACCACCGAACCACGAAACCACCACCCACACCACCGCTACCATCACCACCACCACTACCACCAACACCACCACCAGCACCACTACTACTACCACCACCAAGACCATCGCCACCACCACCACTACCACCACCAACACCACCAACATCAACACTGCCACCACCAACACGACTACCACTATTACCACCAACACTAACACCATAACCAGCACCATCATGCTTGCATTCATTTTCCCTTAGAAAATCGCTCTTATTTGTGTTTGAATTCGCGTCCCTACTAGTTGGAGATATAGATCGTGCGTGATTAGGGCAGAGATTTTGCAGTTTCTTTTACCCTGTATTCTCTGACATGAGGCTGGAAGTGATCACACTTCAAAACCATGCCAACATCCAGTTGTTTCATTGAGAAAATTCCCAAATAAATCGACATTTTCGCAATCAACATCACATTCATTTTTATTGCAATTAAAACTATTCCAGTCTGATTGGAGCGCTAAATGCCCTTTCCACGCACGATCCAAAGGAATTTGCCCCTTGGAAGATAAGTGTGTGTGTGTGTGTGACAAAACTAAATGAGATGAATAACGGGAAAAAGTTTATCACATGATTTATTCCCATTTTGGCGTAAATCCGGAGACAGAGATAGAACGCGAGAGCCGTAAATCGCGTTCCAAACGTGACACGCATCTCACAGAACTGAATGTGCCTCCAGTTTGACTGCATTCCAGAATGGATTGTCAGATCCGTATTGATAGGGGATTCCTGGATGATAAAAGGATGAAACAGTATTTTGGTAAAAACGTGATTCTCATAGTTTAATTTATTAACAACAAAATACAACAACCGGTTATGGAGTCCATGCTCAGACAACAGATGTCTACAGGAGGAATCTCTCTCTAACTTGTTTAATCATTAGAGCTATCTCCAGATCGGGTCAGATGGCTAAGTAAACACACACCATTTACTCTGAGATTAATATCGATTTTTAGTGCTTTCCGAATCGATTTGACCAGGATGAGTAGTTTTCATACATCTCTTTTGATTGGCAAATCGTTATCATTCGCCTTTTTTCCGGACAAAACCACAAACGAATGTATTTTTCAGTTGAGTAAAGTTCTTTTGTGGATAGAACGCGTAAGTGTAAACGGATCACTACACATGCTCGCACGCACGCACACACAACCAAAATAGCGGACAAATTCAAACACTTGAATGTCTTTCGAATGTTATAAGTTCCGTCGAACATATCTCTAACTATGTCATCATTCTGCGAGCACTCTCTCAATCTCTTAAAGATGACTGAAACAACGGAGAAGGAAGACGATAAACATCCCTTCCTGCATAGTTCGCTTCCTAGGCAGCGAATTTAAAACCCATGTCTGGGCATTGTATATCTCAACCACCAGCATGGACCTTCTTGAGGGTTTAGCGTGTATGTGATAGATTATCAACATTGTTACAAACAAATACTATTCATTTACAGCCAGATAAATTTGGCCCAAATATACGTAATAGTTGGTATCCCCGGCAGATATGCTGTTCAATGCCCTTCGAATCTGTACAGTAATTTTTTAGTTGGTTCGAATCAAATAATTTATGAAATACAAAAAATAACTATTGTGAAATTTACAATGTTGATAACACAGCGATGTCGGTAGAGAATTATATTCACCGACGTTTCGGTTACCGTGGGTAACCTTCTCAAGGCAGGTTTACAATCAAAAGAACTTACACCATTCAATTTAGATACCTAACTATAAAATCGAAAGATACAGTTGGACAAATAGGCAGACAGACAGACAGACAGACAGACAGACAGACAGACAGACAAACAGACAGACAGACAGACACAGACAGACAGGCAGACAGACAGGCAGACAAACAGACAGACAAACAGACAAACAGACAGACTAACTGACTGACTGACTGACTGACTGACTGACTGACTGACTGACTGACTGACTGACTGACTGACTGA